AACACCCATGTCCAAGCTGCTGCATTCGGTAACAAATCATTAAAACTGTGAGTTACATTAAATGTCTTTTTCTTGGAAAAGAAATTTTGGTATAGAAATGTTGTTTCTGTATTGGGTAATGGAGTCATACACTCTCTGAAAAGAACGGAAGTGTTTTGTAATGAAAACAATAAGGTTGACTGTCTTCTTGAAAGTATGGCAAAAAATGTCAACAAATCCCAACCAAAAACAGCGCACTGCAGCATCCACACAGTCTGGCACAATTGACAATATAAATATTCTTAAGGTTGTTGGTCGAGAGCAACTAACACATTGGTACTAACTTATTATTGGTTGATAAGATCATTAGGTCAATATAAAATACTACACATAACAACACAAAGTTCCCAAGATAACATAGCCAGACACTATTACAGTGCATACGCAGAAAGGATTATTCTGTATGTTAGATTTTAATTACAAGTGAGTTCCTACGGGTAAAAGGTACTCGATACATTGGTTGGGATATGTACAAAGAAGTAGTGGTTATACACGCAAAATACATAAACTATTTAGGTAAGTCTGATATTAATTGGAGGGTGGATAAGTTAATAATTATCTTACATGAGCAAGCCTATTCTTGCTATAACATTTGATATGCTAATTACGGATTAGTTCCAATGAAATGTGATCAAGAGAATTATTGGTCTCAATAGTTGAACAGTTAAAGACTAATATATACCTGCGGTTACCTCTTGCCTTGGTAGAAATATGTTAACCATAAGAATTTCTAATGTTTTTACATGTTAACAATTGTTCGATGTATTTGATGGCGAATTAATGAACGTCCTGATTGTGTATGTTTTTAGTTTGCTCTTTTTCTTCTATGTGTTCTTTTTGTTGCGTTGGGCATTAGGTGTAATAAAGCGCTATCATTTCGATTGTTACTGAGTGAAGAATTCTAACTTGTTTTTAAATTTCGAATTTGTGTTGAGTGTTGTTATAAAGCGTTACCAACGTTCGTTCATTGTGGGACTATTGTTTGGTTGGAATAGCTTCTGATAGTACAACAACAACAACCAAAAATATGAATAGCGAGTTATCATCAACATCATCACTCGGAAGTGCTAACATCATGACGAATATTACCTCCTCTGTCAACAGCAACAACACCAATTTGTTAAATCAAAAATTCAATGATTATCTCAACAAGGTCTTTCCAAAGACTCAACAATACAAAATGGTTTTCGTTGTAAGAAATGATTTGGATATGAGAAAAGGGAAAATTGCAGCTCAATGTTGTCATGCTGCTGTTGGTCTCTATCGTAATATTTTGTATGAAAATATTGATTATTACAAATATGTGCATTCTCAATGTCCAAATACAATTAGTGGTAATGATGTACTGCCATTAATCACACTTGATGATATTCAACAATGGAAACAATATCTTCATTCTTGGGAAACGACAGCTGAGGCTAAAATTTGTTTGCGAGCTGACAGTGAAAAAGAATTTGAAGGACTCATTCAAAATTGTTTAAAAGAGAAATTAAATTGTTATCTTGTTGTGGATGCTGGAAGAACACAAATTGAGGCTGGATCCAAGGTATGTATGAATTTGAGTCTATGCATTGTTCAAGTAATTGATCAATTTGTTTGTTGAAATCATGTTGATGACGAATTTATCAACAATGACAATATATGGTGGTATTGAAAATATGGAATTTACTTTGTATGGGGTATTTCATATGAAAATATGGAATTTACTTTGTTGTAATTATGGAATTTTACGAATGTCTAGACTGTATTGGGAATTGGTCCTGCACCTGTTGAGAAAATTGACAAGGTTACAAAACATTTAAAGTTGTTGTAAATTTGATTCAACACTCAATCATTATTGAGCATCATTCACCTCAAAACTCCACTTGTTTTGATTGGTGTAATATTTGAGTCGAATGGTCTTTTGAAATAAATCATTAAAATTGGTGAATAATATTATTGGTTGAGAAGAAGAAGGAGTGGAGCTGTTTGTAGTAGTCGTAGTAGTATTAGTTGTAGTATTAGTTGTAGTATTAGTAGTTGCAGCGGAGGTAGTATTATTGTTGTTGACTCTATGAATAGTAATACAATGATTCGATTTCAATAATTTTCTAAATTTGGTTGGGAACATGGTGTGGTTCACTTCAATCATAATCTTATCAATGAGAGAGTTCTTGTTGTTATAATCATATGTAAATTGATTTCCATTGAATAATTTGATGGAATCACTTGGAGAGATCATCTCTTTGGAATGAATCAAAGCATTACTATTCATTACAATTTGAATATTCTCAATCATATTCAATTGAGTAGATTTCACTTGAAATCTTGTTCGTTCACTTGTCCATAATTCATTGTTTGTTGTTGCTTCATCACTTGCCCATAATTCATTGTTTGTTGTTGTTGCTTCGTCATTCTTCTCTTTGAAACACAATTCAATTTCATAAACATATTCAGGAATTTCAAATCTATTGGGTGGATCAATCTTTTCAACCAATCGATTAAATAAATCATCAGATTTACATCGAATAACCATAAATGCATCATCATTGAATGGAGTTAATTGTAAATTACAAATTATTAATTTAGAATTTGGATTCATAACCACAAGAGAATTAACAGGATCTACAGATAATTTGCTACCAATAGCTAGAATGAGTGTTGAACTTTCAATAAAGTGAACTGCCTTATCCCATAAATGTTGTGGAACTTTCTCACCAAAGTTTACAATTAAATCTTTCAATGGTGATTGACAATATTCACACTTGTTAATCGATGTATGAGAATGATCTGGAATGGAATTTTTGTCGCTACTAGTACTGCCGTCATTACCTCTATTTCTATTACTATTTCTAATATTAGTACTATTACTATTACTTCTATTTTGATCATCATATCTATCATGATCACTACTGGATGTTAGAATATTCAATCCACTGGATGATTTCACTACATTTCTATAAATGGATTCGCTTGTTGGATGTACAATAATATCTTCTCTAGTAAATGTCTTGTTACACTTCTCACAATATTCTTTATAACTGTTGCCATGTATTTCAACAATATCCTTTTCATCAATTCCACTCTTTAAATGTAAATTGTCACTATTTTGAGTAATAACATATTTGATATATCCTAGATCATAGAGTTTCTTAATAGCCATATGAGTGAGAGTTGGAAAGTATTTCAAATTGAGATTCTTATTGGTAGATTCAGAGTGAGTACTATTACTACTAGTTGTTGTTGGTGATTCCAATTTTAAAGTATTGCTATTATTACCAGTATTCAATAGCATTCCATCTCTCAACCATATTCCATCTTTACCTCTATAAGTACTCAAACCAGCACTTGATGAAATACCTGCACCTGAAAAGATACAAATTCTACCCTTATGTTCTGCAAATAAATCACCTAATTGAGCTATTTTAGGTCTTAAAAACTCAATGTCTTCTTCATATTCAACATCACTGTCATAGTCATTTCTTTCAAAATCACTATCGTAATGTTTTTCTTGTTTTTTCTTTTTCTTCTTTTTTTGAGAAGATGAAGAGGTTGAATCAATGACATTGAGCCTTCGTTTAGGTGTGGTTGTTTTTTTAGAGGTTGGTTGATAATCATCCTCAGAAAGATTTTTAAGACTCTTTTTTTTTGAAGAGGATGAAGTCTTGTTGGTTGAGGCTATTGCGGAAGAAGTCTTTTTCTTCTTATTGGATAATGTTTTCTTTTCGGACTTTATTTCTTCGGAAGATGATCGAGAGGTTGTTGTGAGAGAAGTTTTGGATGAGCTTTTACGACGAGCTGTTCTTGGAATGATGACGGATTGATTGGGATTGTCTTCCATTTCTTCCGAAGGTGGTGATTGGTTTGTGCTGGCAGCCGAAACTTGTTTCATTTTTCTTTGATGTGTCTTTTGGTAGTTGATTTAAAGCAAATTGCTCAAGCATTATTCTGCAGTCAGGTGAGCAAGGAAGAGCCGGTCAGAATTGAATGACTTTTCGAAGCAGTATTGAACAATTACTTGCTGACAATAATAATAACAATACTCATGGTTTTTTCCTTTGAGCGCGTTCGTGTCATCTTTTTTGTGTGCGGCCTATTGCTTTTGTAAAATAGAGGTGCGAGTTGATTAAAAAAAAATATTCATCATGCTCAGACGTTCAATTACCTCCATTGCCCGTTCAACGTAAATATCATTGTTTTTTAATAATTTTGTTTATTAATTTATTGATGATTACGAACAATTATTACTATATCAAAACACTATTCTTCTTTTCGTACTCGTATGCCTTTCTCCTTCTAACTTGGCCAAACAACAAAATACTCACCCAATCAATATCATCACTTTAAATTTCTTCTACAAAGTGCTTTCAAGTCAAACTACGGAGTTGCTACCTACGCAACATCGGCTGCTCAAGGTGCTGCTTTGGATGAAAGCGTTAGAAAGGTATTGAAGCCTGAAGTTTTGAAGGTCATTGAAGCCAAGACTGACTCTCTCCTGATTAAAAAATTGAACTTCCTTGGCAGATACTTTGTCTGTCGTTTGAATGTGGCCAGCAAGTTGATCTTGAACTCTCTTTCTCAAGAAAACTGCTTCCGTATCATTGTCAATGAATTGGATGATCCATGGGAATATTACTGGAAGCAAGTCAGAAAGAACGGAAAGGACGCAAACAAATGGTTGGAATCTTTGAGAGAAGTCAGAGATTTGCCATTGATTGCTGATCGTTGTTGGAGAAACATGTTGCTCTCTGGTGTTTATCCAACCACTGAGCACTACAACACATATCTTGACGTTTTGGCCAACACAAATGACAACTTTTATCTTCATGATACCTTTGATGATTTGAAGAGAAGAAATCCATATCAAAAGCCTGATGCTGGTTCTTTCAACACAATGTTGGACAATTATATTAGACACCAAGACGGTCAAAGAGCTCTTGTACAAGTTGAGTACATGAAGTCAAAGAATATTGCTGTTGATGCTTCTTTGGAAGGTAAGCTCAAGGAACTTCTTGCTGCTTACGACCCAGAGAAGGGTGCCGCTTGGGCTTTGGACAAGGGTGGTGAAAAGCCAGAATTTGAAGTCAAGAAGGAACAAGCAGGTGAAAAGAACCAACAAAAGATCTTTGATAACTTGGAAAGATATATTCAACCAGATTTCTCCAAGTTGGTCGTCCAAGAGTAAATTTATCATTCCCACCATCTTTTTTACTACCAACACGCTGTATATCCACTAATGAGGGACTCGAGGTTGCGGGAGTTGTTCAAGTCCCACACGGGAGATGTCTTGATTGTACATTGAGAATAATAAATTAATTTTCAATTTAATTTATCAATTACTGATATGATGATTCAACGAGACTTGTCATGTGATGTCGAGATGACGCTTTGAAACGAGAGAAAACCCTCTCATTTTCCGTTACCGTTTCGATTTTAAAATTAGTTGAAAAAAACTACAGCACATTTGCAAGACGTTCATCTGTAACAATTGTAAATAAGGATGATGTACACCACTACCACGTCGGAAGAGTTTCAGAACAAGTTTTCAAAATCCTTGGAGGGTCCCAACAATCATACCATCTTGTCGAAACAATCCTCATCGGTTCATAACACTGATCCCAATCTATTGAGGACCTCTCAACTCTTTCAAAGCACAGTCTCTTGTAAAGAAGTCAATGTGTATCGAGGAACAGGAGGAGGATTCAAGTCTAACAACAATTGCTTCATTCCGACAGACAATGATATTCCTGTACAACCTGTGGCCAGATGGAGAGATCGCTTAATCGACCCATCGTATCATCCTTCTGACCTCACCATGACTCAATCCTCTTTTAATAAGCACTCGAGTTTGATTAAGGAGAAGGAGCATGCTCAAACCCTCATCCAAACACTTCAAAGCGCTGCTGGAGTGAACCATTCACCCAATGATGATCCCCTTCTTTCCTCTCACCCCACTGGATACAAGAGTAACTACAAATCGAAGAATATTGTTTCTGGATGTACATACCCTGACCATTTAGAATTGACAACAAGTCAACATGTGAGTGAAACGAAAGACCATTTCAAGTATAGTGATCCCTATCAATATTCCCAATTCATGTCTACTCTTAAGAATTAGATTATTTGTTGCTGTTTCATGGAGTGTGCAAGCATTATTATTCTACAGGACCTCATGTAAATAAATTTCATAACATCGTTCTCCGAAAAACCTCAGGTCTCCACTTTCATCAGCACAAAATCATCGATTCGTGAAAAAAAATTCCCTAAGATTGATAATCACACCTACGCTCATACATACGCACATTCACTCTCTCGCTTGTGATTTCTTGTCATCCTTCCAACATCATGTCCTTCCTTTCTTCACTCTCTGGTAATCAAAAATTATTACTCGGTGCTACCCTTGCTAGTGCTGCTGGTTTATTCTTGTACAAGAAACACTCTTGTTGTTCCTCTTCATCCACAAAATCCATTGCCACCAGTGGTCCTAAAGTAGATTATAGTAAAAAATCAAAACAACAAATTGAAACTGAATTCAAACAAGTATTCCAAGAATTGAAGAAATTTATTTTGGATGACATTAAGAATAATTATGAAGTACCAAAAGAGAATATTGAATATGTTGAAAGAGTAAGTCATTTCATGATAGGTCTATATATGAACTTTTCTTATTCTATACACACAAATGGAATATAATTTTCTCTTATTCTTCACAATTCAACCTTCATATCCAATCCTATTCGATACAATTCAACCATACAATTCAACCCTCATATCCAATCCTATTCAACCCTATTCAATCCTATTCAACACTCAAGATTCTCGATTACAATGTTCCACATGGTAAATTAAATCGTGGATTGGCCGTCGTGGATACTCTTCTCATTCTCAATTCCTATCAAGTCAGTGAAAAACAATTCCACTCTGCTTGTGTATTGGGATGGTGCATTGAATTCCTTCAAGCCTTCTTCCTTGTTGCTGATGATATTATGGATGCATCAATCACTCGTCGTGGACAAGATTGTTGGTACCGTTTGGAGGATGTCAAAATGACAGCCTGTAATGACTATTTAATTGTTGAATCTCATATTTACAAGATTTTGAAGCATTATTTCAATGAACCATCTTTATACGTTCCATTGGTTGATTTATTCCATGAAGTCACTTATATGACTGAATTGGGACAATTACACGATTTAAGATCACTTCCTCCAAATGTAGATAAGAATGAATCATCGACCATTCCATTCCATACTTTTAATATTCAAACTTATTCATTGATTGTCAAGTACAAGACAGCCTTTTATAGTTTCTATCTTCCATTATATTGTGGTTTAATTTTGAGTAACAAGTTGGATGAAAATATTAGAAAACAAACTTTGGATATTTCTATTGCCATGGGAGAATATTTCCAAATTCAGGATGACTATTTGGATTGTTATGGTGATCCATCTCATATTGGTAAGGTTGGAAGAGATATTGAGGATTGTAAATGTTCTTGGTTGGTGGTTAAGGCTTTGGAATTGGCCAACGAAGAACAAGTCCAGGTGTTGAAGGCTAATTATGGAAAGGAAGCACCTGAAAAGGTGAAATTAGTGAAGGATTTGTACAAGCAATTGAATTTGGAAGAATTGTACAAGTCCTATGAACAAACAGCCATTCAAGCCATGAATCAAATGATTGATCGTGTTCCTGATTTTATTAATAAGGATATTTACAGAACTCTTTTGAACAAGATTGCCAATAGAACCAAGTAATTGTGTTCTTTTTTGAGTTCCATGGACAGTAGTGGTTGCATTTGGTTGTGATGAATAAAACAATATCTCACATATGCAAATTGGATTTAAACATGTTCCATCTGGTTCTCCTTTCTGGATTGAATAAAATCAGGCTGAACCAGTTTTAAGATGTCAGGATCTAATTTCAATTCATATGCAAGGTATTTGAAAACTTCTGGATTTTTTAACAAAGCAAGGGTCATCAATTCTTTGTCGCTATTAATCGAGTGTGGTGATGCCACAAATGCATATGGATTCACCTGAATGGCCTTCTCCATGAATGACCTGTCTCCAAGCAGTTGTTTGTTCGGAATATCTCTCAAGAAACCATTCGAGTATTTCAATAAAGTTAAAATAATTCTTTCATCTTTCAACAACTGCAACGGAATGTCGTCTGAGCGAATAAAATTTCCTTCCACTTCAATGGCTTTCATTGTAATGTCAAAACTGCTGCGAATTTCTTCTGAGGCAAAACAATATGCAAATGCAAGTGTAGGTAAATCCAAATGAACGAGTTGCCGATTGTTTTGCAATTCTTCTGAAGCATATTCTAAAGCAAATCCATTTTTCAAGATGGCTGTTTTGACAATGTCAAAATCATTTCTCAAACGATCCGACGCAAATTTTAAAGCAAGTCCATTATTGGATACTGCAGCCAGCACAATTGTTGCATCATCCCTTAATGTTGGAGATGCAAATTCGAGAGCTCTTCCATTATTGGTGACAGCTTGTAAAACTATATCTCCAACATCTTGAAATCGACATAGATGTTTCAAGAGCATTCCATTCAATTTTACCGATTCTTGTGCAAAATGATCATCTGCCTTGGCAAGTATGGCATGAGGAACACAGTCTCGAATAATGGCCTCTTTCAATATTTCTTCATCATGGTAAAAGTGTTCTGGGCACTCTTTGCCTTTCTTAACAGCCTCTAATACCACCTCTCGATCATTTTCAATCAATGATGATGGTATCCATTCGAATACATTACTACCATGGAGACGAATAGCTTCCAAAACTAATTCCTTATTGCGTTTCAAACTTGGTGCAATATATTGGAACACTCGAAATTGTTGTGTAATTGCCTTCTTTACAAAATCTAAATCTTCATACAATGATGGATCAATGCGATTACTTGCTGGAGAGGGATCAAGTCTAATAATTTTCAATGCAATTTCATGGTCTCGAAACAATTCTGGATTTGTCACATATTTTAGAACGGAAGAATCTCTTTCTGTGGCCTTTAAAATAATTTCACGATCATTTCTCAAATTCTCATCATGCACATGCTCAAGTATATTTGGATGAAAATTAGTGTAAAATAATAATTCCTCTCTACTTTTCACATTTTGCATAAATATGTGATTCAAAACGTCCTTGGGCTGGTCTCTAAAGAAACGATGAAATTCCATGCTGACTTGATTTCTCAATTCTTGTTGAAGTCTCTCAGAGGCAAATCGAATTGAAAATGGGTTGTGTATAATGGCTTCCACAACCACATCTTGATCATCACGTAACATGGGATGCGCATATTCCAATGCATTACTATTCCTCTTGACACATTCCTCAACAAAGGCTTTGTGTTGAAAGGGTGAAAAATACAAAACCATATCATTGTAGGAGAGAGCTTGTAAAAATAATTCATAGGCTTGAGAGGGAGGTATATTCAACGATTCAGCCGTTCTTTTAGCTTCTTTGAATGCCCATTCAACCTCTGCAATGCGTTTTAGAATATTCATTCGAATGGTTGTATCGTGATGAGTCATACACTCTACGACTTGCAAAATTTTGGTCATGAAAGGAGATGGAGACTGTTTCATCTCTTCAGTGAGTAAACGTTGAATGGTAATACCCAATGCATAGACATCACTGGCAGTTGTGAATGGATATTCTGTTTTCTGACACAAGTTCTTATGTTGCACAAGTTCAGGAGCATAAAATTGAGGAGTTCCACCGTCGATTCGATCTTTTTTAAGAATGGACCGATTGTATTTGGCAAATCCAAAATCTGCCAATACTACATGAATATCACCGTTGTCGAGATCAATTCTACGAATGAGAATATTTTCAGGTTTGATATCACAATGAACCATTTTTTTTCTATGTAAATAATAAATGGCTGAACAACATTGTTGAATGATTTTCATAATCATTTCTTCATTCAACCGATTAGTATTGGTTGTATTGTGTGTAGCAAATACATTCAACGATTGAAGACAATATTCCATTTCAATACATGGAACACCTTCAATGAAATGTACATCATCGACTTGAACGATATTTTCATGATCGAGTTGAAGACATGATAAGGCTTCTCTAAAGCTTGTGACTCGTTTGGAAACTTTCAATGCTTTCTCTTGATTGCATCCATTGGTAATTTTCCAAACAACTCCAAAAGATCCGCTTCCAATTTCTTTCACCTTCATATTGCATTGTTCGAGATAGTTTTTAATTTTGTAAATATGATGATCCTCATGAAGAGATGATATATTTTCATATTGACCAATGTGATCGTGTTTTACTTCTGGAGTGTGATGTGAAGTGTGCTGTGCAGGTTGCTGCAGTAGAGTAGGAGCAAAATCCATTTTTTGGGTGAAAAGGTCTGAAAGGTTGAATTTTGGTTTTTTTGGATCTTGTTCAAGAGACGAAGAAAACGTGGAGACACTGTGATCGTGTTGTGACGAGGCGGCATATTCTTTGGGTCGTTTTTGAAGCATTTTTTTTGAAAGGTGAAAAACTTGTGATCAAGAAAATTGTCATTTCATCAGCTGAACATCTTAAGATTGTAACCGCGGAGAATCTGGTAAACCTCCATGGCACACTTCAAAAGGCCATTATTTTATTTCTGGATACGAAACTAAATATTGAACGGTTTATTAAACAACAACAGCAGATAAACAATACGTTTTGAACCATCTTCACTAATTTCCACAAACCTTCAATTGGAGATTTGACACTTGATGATAAAACAGCTCTCTCAAAGCAAGTTTTGAATAAGTCTTGTATACAAGGCATTTCAAATGGTCTGTATTCAATAAGGTCTTTTCAAGTACCCAATCTCTCTCATCAGGTTTAAAAAATAGAGAATCCACAAGGAATGCACATGGTTGTTGAAAGATTTCACATAATGGATCCAAAATCTGAGGATAAGTGAGTGGATTGGAAAGACAATTTTCAATATTTTCTGAAATGACAATTAACCTAAAAACATAATTCTCATGATTAGAATTCTCTTCTTCATGGTGATCCCAATAAGGTAACACTGTCCAGAACAAATCTAAAAATTCACTCATCATTCGAGCATGTCTCAATGTTGTTGTATGATTGTTATGAAACCATTCCTTCATTTGTTCTTTCAAAAATAGTTGTAACGATTGACCTCTATACAATTCCAAATACCAAAGAGTTTGAATCAATCGACGATCATCGAGTAATGAACTTGCATTTTCAAATAATTGAGGTAGATTCAATCGTTCACTCACGATCTTGATCATGTTGTCATACATTCGACCTAACAGAGATACACTGTGTCGAGTTGGTAACTTGGAAAATACAGAACATGAAAAATTTAAATCATGAGGAATGTAATAATGAGGAAATCCAGGAAACTCTTTCAGTAGACTCTCATGACTGGATTGAGAAGAGAATGAATGGTCAACATTTCGTCCTCTTTCTCTAAATTTTGAAGAATTCTCATGCATTCTCAATGGAGGAATATTCGCCATCACTGAAGAGAATATTTCTTGAGAGGTCCATTTGGAATCAAAAACATCTGCAAAAGCATCTCGAAAAGGAATCCAAAACTGTTGAATTTCTGGATCTGTTGTGGCTCTATATCTCATATTCTCCAAAGATGAATCAATGACATTATTACTTTCATCTGGGAATGGCTCACATGCTTTTACAATTTCCTGATCCCAACATATGAAATACTTGTTGAGGCTCATACAAGTGCTGTCGCTACATGATGCAGGAAATACAATGACATTGGTCAAATGTAAAAGTTGTTTCAATGATTCATTTTGATTCAATTGTTGAGAATTGAGAGTTTTCAATCTTCTCAAATCTCCTCGATGAAAACATGGTTCTTTGGTAATGATCACTTCATTCTCAATGAGAGTTTTCATCGTTCCATTCTTGTTTGAAATTTGAATGAATATTTCGTTTGATTTCAACACACCATAAGGATCCACAACACCATACAATCTTCTTGAATTTGGAATTCTCATTTTCATGTTCAATAATTTGGAACGAAATGGACCAACAAGAAATGAAGTAATAGAGTCATGATAACTTCCCAATAAATTCAATGCTGCAAAATCTCCATCTTTCAAATATTGTCGGATGAGTAATTTTCTTTGTTGTTGATCATCATTAATATTTTCACATAAATATGAATTCATAGTTTCTTCAACATGACGAACCATGAGTTTCTCAAAAATTGGTGCTAATTCTCCTCGTTGATCGCATCCATTAAACATGTGTAATAAATTCACATTAGCTTCTGCATCTTGATCACTTCCTTGAGAATAATCAAGTATATGAATGGGATAATGATACGAGTGGTGAGTTTCCACGTGTTGAGATTCAAGTAGAAATGTGTGTTTGACAGAATCATGATTGACATTCTCATTAGAGGTTAATAAATAACCCAATGTGTTATTCCATTCAATTCTAAAGTAGGAAGGAGGAGAAGGTGATGTCAAAGGTGAATTTTGGTCATATTCATCAAGCTTGATGTCCTCATGACTTCCTAAATGAGAAATGATTTGATGTGCCAATTTGGTAGAAATAAATAAAGGTCCTTGATTCAAATCATAATTGATTCGAAGTGTTAATAAAAATTCTGGTCGTTGCAAAAAGCACTTCACTTGTTGAACTTTCTTGTCTGTTTCATCATCGACAAGAACCATATATGGATGAGGTTTTCTTCCACTCAATTGTCCATAAAATTTAGAGTTGAAATAGAATGTATTATCATCTTCAAGTGCTACTTGAAAAGTCTCACCTGCAATTTTCAACTTGGCATCTAATTGTTGCGATCTTAATAATAATTGTACATTTTCAAATTGGGAAGCCAATGAGGGAGTGTAAACAGAGTTGAAGGATGATTTCATGGCATGTTTCCCATGTTTGGATAAAAATGAGGATTGTAAATTTTCATACATGCAATTCCAAAACTCAAATGAAGATTTCGAAGAACGTGAAAAGAGTAGTTCACGTTCTAATACACTCATGGTGGTTGAGTAATGAGGATATTCCATTTTCAAATAGAGCGAATCTTCTGATTTTGTGTGTTTTCTCTCTAAGGGTGATTGGAGGAAAGGGAAGAGAGAGTAGTCATCATCATTCTTGACATTCAATTCTGATTTCTTTATCATTTTCAATCGAATAATAAAGAGAGGAGCAATGGCATAATTATCATCTTCATTACGAAAAAGATCATGAAGGTATGGACAATAGGTAAAATAGGGAATGACTTGACATGTATAACACTGTGTAATATCTTGTTCCTGAATGGAATTGTGAGGTGTGGATGGTTGTTGCTGTTGTCGAGGATGGTGAGAATTATATTCCTTCTCTGGTTGGTCATCAAAACAAGCATAACCAAATTTGAAACGATGAAAAGACGACTTGTTGTTCATCATGCTGTCCTCTTGTTTGGAATTTTCTTGAAACCATTTCCTTGAATCGGAATGATCGAAATCTGTGGAATGTTGTAATAAACGTGCATGGATACAATTCAATCCCTTTACACTCACTAAATATTGATGCGTACAGGCACTCAAGACTTTGAATTTTTCTGAAAAACCAAGTTGTGCATACGGTTGGTGGTTCTTATTGTCGAATTGAAATTTTTGATATTTTTTAATACATTCCACTAAGAGAGGTGATTCGGAATCATCAATGATGTTCGAGCTCGAGAGAAAGACTTGTTTACATTTTAACAGATCGAGTCGATCCTTTTCATGAATGAGTGGAGTTTTGAAATATTGTTGTTGTTGTGAAGTGAGAATGTGTTCAATATGTTGCAACCATCCCATGTCAAAGAAGGTGATGTTATGTTCAAGAGAGGTGCTCGTGTTGAGGAATTCCGAGTTCTCGTTGTTGGATTTCATTTTTTTTGTGGCTTTTGATTGACATTATTAGGATCACATCAATGTCAATTCATTCAAAAAAATTAATTGACAAGCGAAACATGCCACACTTTCTTGCTCCGTATGACCATCGAGCACCATCACTCCTCCCGAATGAAGTCAAATTTTCAAGTTCGAATGAATTTATTTCAGACAAGGCTCAATGGTTGAGTAACGTCGATCGAATTCTTGATACTCGAATGGAATTTAAAGAACAATTATTGCACAGTGATGATCATGATTTACAACCTTTCAATCCTTTACAATTATTGTTAGAATGTCATTCATTAAAACATACTCTTCCTGTGATTAAATCGAGAGAGGACGTCCAAAACTATTTATCATCCATTCCTTACATTAAGAAATTACGAAATGAATATTCTTCCATGAATTTTGATCACAGATTTGAAGTTTTAAAAAAGATTACAAAAATGTTTCTAGTAACCGTCGAGGGATTGCAAGAAATTCATCAATATCTTAATCATTCAAAATGGAAATATCACGACAGCAATCCATTCACTCATTCCAATGAAGAATACTTTCAGGACTCTAAACTCAACTTTCGTACCAGAAGTATGACCATATTTCCATATTTTCCAATTTTTAATTCAGAACATGAAATGGATTATCGATATGGAGATTTACCTCATCTCATTGTCATGCTGAAAAGTAGTCCAAAAGGTCGATTTCTACCTAATCGTTTTCGTTTAAGATTTGGAGGAGATTGCTTAATGATTGTCAACTTTTCATTTCCAAGAATGGGACTCAAATGTCAAACCTATCTTTCCAATTTAATGAAACATTCCAAACAACAAGAGCCTTACACCACACTCTCTTCTTGGGAATTGTATATGAAAGCAATCAAGTTACAATTTTATAAGAATGGTCCTACAACTGTCAATTCCAAACAACACTTTGAATATTGTCAAGTCTTTGAAAGTATTCATACCGAAGTGACATGCTACAACAAGATGGGTGAGTTCTTAAAAGGACCTATTGAAATTGCAGGTTGTTCGTTTGCTCCACTCTGTCAAAACACGAGTGGAATGCATTCACATCGATATGTTTACTTTTCCATGATGCCGAATGACCACACCGTGAATCGTCCTGAAATTTTCATACCAGCGGTAGAACGTTGGGCCATTCCACCTCCACTCAATTCCAAAGTATATTCAAGTGAAAATTTAAAGAGTATTCGATTATCACTCCTCAATACTCCAATTTATCCTTCTGATTTGATTTTACAAGACAACATGATTGGTTTGGAACAAGATGTAGAGTTTAATGGATATACATTTTCAGATGGATGTGGATTTATTTCAGAAGAATGTGCTCGACTAGTCTATCAAGTCATTCTGAAGAGGAAAGAAACACACGGTGCCAAGAAACAACATCGTTTTACTCACCAACGCTATGCACCAAATATGGAACATTTCTACGAGGATGAATTGGATTTGCAACAAGAAGAAGAAGAAGAAGAAACACCTTCTGCTTTTCAGATACGTTTGGGAGGTGCCAAGGGTATGCTGGTTGTGAAAAAGAATCTCTCACATCCCATTGTGTTGCGACCTTCAATGATTAAATTTAAACCTTCGAGCGAAGAAGAATTGCATCAAGAACTCCATATTGTTGGATTTTCAAGTCCTTCTGGAGATGCCTCTATCAATCCTACCATTATGCATGTATTAGAAGGATGTGATGCCAATGGAAAAGTTTGTGAAAAATTGAAAGAGATCATGAAACAACATGTGAATGAAATTATTGACAAGTATTTGAAAAGCTCAAATAGAGAAGTGGCTGAAAGTTACATGAAAGATGGAGATTTTGCAGCATTGAATTTATTGGGAAGTTATCATGACTCTATTACTTCATTTCTTGTTGGTCCATTTCGTTCCAAATTATTGAACATGAAAATGAGAATTCCAAATTCAAGAAGATTGTATGGTGTTGTGGATCCTTATGGTGTGTTGAAATCAAATGAAATATTCATTCAAATTTCAAACAAGAATGGAACGATGAAAAATCTCATTGAGAATGAAGTGATCATTACCAAAGAACCATGTTTTCATCGAGGAGATTTGAGAAGACTGAAAACTCTCACTTCTCAACAATTGAATCAAAATGAATCATTGAAACAACTTTTACATTTGACCAATGTCATTGTATTTCCTGCATGCGGTGATCGTCCTATACCAAATACAATAGCAGGATCAGACCTGGATGGAGATTCTTATTTTGTTTGTTGGGATCAAGACATTGTGCAAAATGTCAAAATTTTTGAACCAGGTGAATTTGATATGGAGCATGAAGATTTGAAGGAGAAATCATTTGAACCTGATGTCTTTAAAGATTGGGTTGGAGTTCGTCATGCCTACGCTGATTACTATGGTTCTCAATGGACCGCAGACTCGAACTGGGATTCCTGCATGTCCAAATTAAGCCAAATTCTGAACAAGGCTGTCGATGCACCTAAAAAAGGTAAAACATTCAGTCCAACAAGAAAGGATCTCGAAATTATTAGAAATTTCCCAGGATATCCTCATTATCATCAAGAAAAACATGGTTCTGCCACCTACAACAGTAATTCTATCATTGGACAATTATACGACATGATGATGAATGAAATTCAACAGGTCACAAATTTTTCAAAGCCTTCCCAAAGTGAACAAGGCTCTGAAATGACCATTACCGCTCTCGATGATCGTGATTATATTTATGTTTCCTGCTTGTATGAAATTAAGAAGGCACATGCTCAAAAACAAAATCCTCTCGATGCATTTATACATTTCCTTCTCACTCGATATCGCTTAATTCGTGATGGAAAATGTACCATTCAATATGCGAGTGAGTTTTTGAACATTTTTTGGAGAGTTTTGTGTTGGGTGGAATGGTTCATGTGTCTAGTACCTTCTTCTGGTTGTTGCAATGACCACAACAATACCTGTATGGAAAAGTCCATGCACATTTATGTATTGAATTCATGTTTGGAAGATCTGAACCTGCTAGAACGAGACGTTCTTCTCCAAGATTGGTTTGATTCCTACACAAATCGAGTCATGACTTTGATGGGAATGGATTCTGTTCCTTTAGAGAAAATTGAGATGGAAGGCTATACCAATATGAATATCTATGAAACCAAAATATGGTCAAACAAGTTCACACCAAACATGATCGCTTGGGCATTGGAACAAGTCATTGAATCTTCATTGAGAATACAGGTAGAGTTAGGATTTAATTTACACGAGATGATGAAAGAATATTTGAGTGGGGAACAATTCTCACAATCAACGGAAAGTCTTTCTCAACTTTTAATGAATATGCTTGAGAATCGAGATCGATTGGAGAGTGAGTTTCCAAAAACACTATTAAGGAGCGTGTAAAAAGTTGGTGGGATGGAGGAATTTTGTGGCCCTAATCTCATTTTCATTTAAAAAAGATTCCAAAATAGCATTCATAGAACAGCATTTCTGTTTCAAACATAATTCTATCGCCGAGAACCAACACTTACTTGAAAAAAATTAAATGCTTTTTTCCTGAACTTCCATTTCAAAAAAGTGTTGAATTTGGTCACACAAAGCAATTACATGCTCCAGACAAATTGTAAAATAACTCTTGAAGAAATTACGTCACGCAACCCCTTTTCTAAAGAAATTTGGGAGGAGTGGTTGTATTTGACAATCACGTGACGAGGTGTCTGAGCGATCAAAAAAAAATTCATCAAAACATGAGCACCTCCAACTCTTTTAAAAACACAAAACTAACCGACGCATCAAAAGAAAAAGCCGTCGAAATTTTGCGTCACCATTTAATGTTTAACTTTGTTGCTTGGTCTCCAATTCGAATTCCGTTATTTTCCTCATCTTTGGAATCGATTAAAACAAAAATGGAAGATCAATATTGGCTGCCCTTGATTGAGTGGGGAGAAACTCGTAGTTTGACCACAGTAAAAGAATTATTTTTTAAATCTAACATTGAGGAACTGTTTGATTTCGTTAATACAAACTATCCCGAATTGATTGAAGGAAGAAGCGATTAATTATAACATGTTCGTCCCATTGCATTAAAATTCAATTTTCAACTATTCGCAAAAAATTGAATTCGCTCTAAAGAGACAGCGTCAAACATTGTTTGAATTTGTTTGATCGATTTTCAGAAAAACAATCATTATTAAACCTTACTTCCGAAGTATCTCAAAAGAAAGTGAAACATCATTCATGGCAGTGGTAATAGAGAAGGAATATTTTGGACATTATTATGCTTGTTGTTATATTGAGGACTATATAATCGATAAGCACACGTGTGGCTGTGTAAATCAGACCTTTTGCCAAAAATAATGGTTATCATGCCTTTTTGCAAAAATGAACTTTTTGTTTCCGTAAAATTAATAAACAAGACACTCGGGTGTGTACCTTAGTCGTAGGGCCAAGTAAAATCTGGATACATACTGCTACATTTTGATAAAAATTTCAAACTTCTTTAATATAAGAGTTGGAGATTTGAGAGGATGATGAGGTTCACTATCATGGTTGAAGATTTGAGGAGGATGACGAAGCCATATTCTACCTCCTCTTTGATTCGATGGTCCATCCATACGTAAAAAGGTAAGTGCTCTCATGTTGACTATTGTCCGATAGTAGTTGTCTTGTAACCAATCTTTTGTTCCAACCATACTTGTCTTGCTACACTTGCTGATGGTCTCTTTTCATAATCCTTATCCAACATGATCATGACAAAATCAATCAGAGCTTGAATATTCAATGAAGCATGATCTTGTCGAGTCGTATTACTACCACTACCACTGCTACCACTACCACTGCTACTATTATTATTACTACTAGTATTGTTACTACTATTATTATTACTACTAGTATTACCATTATTACTATTCGTCGTCTTGTTATTCTCATGATTATTATTACCACACAATGTTTGTGTTAATTTCTCTCGAATTTCTTTACCTCCATTACTCATGATGGAAATTCGAACAGTTGTTTGAAAATCACGTGTAATCATGATATAAAACACACATCCCAATCCATAAATATCTGTTTTAGAGACATCTTTCACATCACCTGCAAACAATTCTGGAGATTGAAATAATTCAGTTCCAACAATACTTGTCTTGGTCACTACGGTTTCAACATCACCTTTGGAAAGACCAAAATCACTCAATACGACTTCGTCTTCTGTCCTTAAAAGGAAATTCTCTGGTTTGATATCTCTGTGATAAACTTCTCTTCCATGAATGTATTCAATACATGATAACATTTGATCCATAAAATTGAGAATTCTCTTAATTGGTAAATTAGATTTCAAATTCAACAAGTATGACTGGAAATCACCCAATTCAAGGAAAGGCATTGTGAAACACCACTTGTCATAATTTCCTAATTTGGTTTCAAAGATTTCATAGACGGGAAGAATGTGTTTGTGATTGAGTTTGGACATTTGAATGAATTCTGCATTATTGCCTTCTTCTTTTGGTAGAATTTTCATGGCGAGTATCTTTTTATCTTCACTATTCAAATCACATACTACAGAATCATGATGAAAAAATTTAAATGAACATGTGAATATTCATTCACGATGAGAATGTATTCAATAACATGAAATATTTCAATAATATGAAAAAATAGTAAAATAGGATTCATGAACCAATCAACACATGAAAGAAATATTCAATAATATCAATCATTCATCATTCAACACAAACAACATATTAAACATGATCATTCAACACAATTGGAAACATTGAAAATTTGAAAAAATCATGAGGATCATTTTCACACACACACACACACTTACCTTTAAAAACACTTCCAAATCCTCCCTTTCCAATCTTTTTCAAAATTTCATAGCGATCTGCTAGTACATTCTTTTTAGCCTTCTTTTGTGGTGATTGAGCTTCTCCAAGTTTTTGATTTTTCCTTTTCAATTCCAATTGATTAAATATCTTAATAACCAATTGAATATCTGCTTGATGAGACGTTTGTCCACTAATTCCAGAAAGTGGTGTAATGAAATGAGTCTTGACCAATTCTAAATTCATACAATTCTCAAAGAGTTTTGTAAAGAATTCTTCAAAGTTTGGAATGGCATTCTTTACCTTTGAAAGTGAATTCTCAACGAAGAGTTTTCTACACACAAATTCACTCCATTCCATAAATAATGAATTCTTTGTTGTCGTTGTGGTGTAGGAGTGGTAATAATCGAGTTGTTGTTTTGTTTCAGAGATGTGTTTGAGGAAAAGATGAGGAATAGGGTTTCAATGAATTTTTGTACATTCAGAGGAGTGATAGGAGTGTTGTTGAACTTGGAGACTTGTTCACGAGTCGAATAGTATTCGGTCATGTTTCTAAATATGGTAATTCTGGTTTCGGATTCAAGAATACTTGAGAAGGATGCCAAACATAAACTCTCAATCAACAAGTTACCATCTACAAATACATTCTTGGAAGCTTCTTTTTCTTGCTTTTGTAAATATTGTAAAAATCCAAAAATGTCCTTCACTCTCTTTTTATGGAAAGGTCGAAACATTTCAATTTCTGAAACCAATGGATTCACACAAGGATAACAAGACTTGTCACCAAATTCTCCTCCATTCAATGTACAATTGATCATGTTCAACAAGATGGATGTGAAGACACTTGTGCTATCTTTAGAATTCTTTTTTAAATAATTCATCGTTTGATTAAATAATTCAAAATTCTGTAACGTTGAACACCAATAAATAATCACATAGTAGAGTGAATAAATCTTCTTTCTCAATTCCATGTTGTTGGTATATAATTGATCGAGAGATATTTTCGATTTTGATGAAGAATCTGAATTGACATTTGACATTTCTTTCAAATACTTCTTACTTTCATTGGCCAGTGACATGTCTAACTGGTAGAGCGTTGGTCCAAATTGACATAATTGTTCAAAGAGCATGATCAATTGTGTTGGAATAGATACTTCTTCATTGTTTTCACTCAAAAGATTGAGTAACGTCATTTCGAATAATCTTCCAATTTGTGTTAAAAGTGTCAAGTAATGTTTGAGAGTTTGTTGAGTGTTATTACTACTCGATATGGAGGTAGTTGTATTGTTCATATTCGTAGTAGTAGTAGTAGTAGTATTGTTTTGATTCATTGTTCCATCGAGACATGACTTTAAAGATTCTCGAATCATTGGAAAGAGAATTTTCAAAATAATCACATCCACAATTTCATATCGAGTATTCTGTTGTAATACATGTGAAATGGCCGATGAATGAATGACTGAGAGAGAAAGGATACCACCACTACTACCTGTACGACTCATACTTTCATTATTTCCAATACCTCCATTACTACTATTGCTACCACTCCCATCGAAATGATCAAATTGTTGTTGATTCAGAGTACTACTATTACCACTTGAACCAACACTTGAACTACTACCACTTGAATGAATGAAACATTTACATTTCAATATATTGGAATAAACATTAAACTTCTCAGTGAGTGTAATGGACATTGTACTTTCAAAAAAACTTTTTAAGAAATTTGAAAAGTGACTCTGTGGTAACATGTCATGTAAAATATCAAAAACGCTCACAGTGAGACTTTTCATCAAATTTCCCTTAATGATGGCAATATTTGGAACATTCTTTCCATCTAAATTGAAAATGGCTAATAACTTGGCAACAAGACTATGAAATTGTTCTTTAAATTCTTGAATTTCTTTCAATTGTTTTTCTTTTTGATACGATGAAGTAATCTTTTTCTTTTCTTGTGAAAAGTGTCTCTTTTTAAGGAGAATCATAACGAGAGAGAAGGATTGAATGGCATGATACAAGGATTTGTAATGAGTATCTGGAATGGTTGAATTGCCAACACTTGAACGCATTTCAGTACTCGATCTCGAGTTGAATTCTTTTAAAATAGATTCAAGACTTGTAATGGATTCTTGGAATCGATCATTTAAATGTTTTAAAATCGATTGATAGACCTTTTCACTAATTGGAATTTTTGAAACAATTTGTTCAAACAATTGTTCAGTCTTGGAAAAGTATTGTCCAATGAAATAAAAGAGAGTTTCGAGAGTTTTGTTTCGAATTTCTTCATGTTCATCATAGAATTCTAAAATTGAAAATAATGACTTGAACAAGTTATGAGCATGTAGAACACATTCCTTATATGTGATTTTCTTTTTCACTTGTTCCAATAATTCCATCATGGAAACATTTTTCAAAATAAATTGTTTCCATAAAAATAGAATTTGTAATAAATGTGAATGAGGAATGGAGGAAATGAAAAAGATGATACTCATTTTGATATTGTTCTTTTCTGGTTTGCTCATTTTCAAATCTGGTAATACTGCAAGAACATTGGTACGTGAAGTCACTATCGTATTTGTTCGATTCAATGTTTTCATGGAATCTGAAGAGTAAGGATGATGATCCGAGTGGTTCGTGTTGCCAGTAGTAGTAGAAGTAGAAGTAGTAGTATTTGAATTGCCAGAAGTAGTAGTTGTAGTAGTTGTATTACTATTACTTGTACTACTACTCGTATGACTCAATGATTTAGTCTTGTACAATTCAATTAATTTCATCTTTTCAAAATTCATGAGTGAATCTTGATCTGTAAACTTGTAATACCCAATCAAGACAGGTTGTTCTTCTAATTCATATTTTGATTTGTTCGTCGTATTCACATTATAGACATATAAATATAAATAGAGATGATCGAAATTTTCAACATGTGAAGCATCAATGTGAAAGGGTTCAAAATATTTGGGATTGGTTTTCTTGCAAAAGACATAACTTGAATAATAGAAGGGACCATTCATGTGCATATTGTTGTTGTTGTTGTCTTGTTGTTGTTGAGTGAATGAAGAACCCAATGGATAAGAATTGGGTGAAGATGATGATGAACCATTCTCTCCTGGACTGGCAGTCAAATTGGATGAACTTCCAAAGTTGGAACTCGATTGGATGGGAGTCAATAAGTGATGAGAACTTCCACCTGCAGTATGGATTAATCCACTATTACTTCTCTTTGTCGTACTATGATTCATACTACTACCACCTGCATTGGTTCTATAAATGGGAATAAATTTACCTTCCTTCGTTTGTGGATTTTTCACTTCAAATAATCGCATGACAATGAGTGGATTTTTCGATTTCAAAATAGAACTTGATAAAGTAGCTCGATCCAAACATGGATAAATATCACATCGATTCTCTAAAAATGAATAATTGGTTTTGGCTTCATTCTTGGTATTGATTGAGAACCAATTGATGGGTTTGGCTGTAAATAAACGTTGAAATTGTGGAACTTCTTTCATAATGACATCATAATCACCCTTATAGAATACAAGATTCACATTCAATTGATCTTTCAAAGCCTTACATTCACTTCCAATTGAAGTATAGGTATAGAGTGAAGTTGGTGCACTCTGAACCAATGTTGAATCATGACTCGAAGCAGCAGAAACAAGTGAATGATTCGAGGAATGACTTGAGAGAAGATTGGAACCACTGCCACTACTATTGCTACCAATACTACTACTACTACCACTGGATGAATCCAATGCAGTACTACTCAAGGAAGTCATGGAGTTCGGTGAATGAGTTCCAACCATGGATCCTTTTCGAGAGAGTGAGGCTAGAGAAGTATCCTTTTGATTTCCTGATAATAACGTTGCAAAGTCAATGATATCATTTGAATTTTCTAAATTATTACTTGCAGAGAGTAAGGAAGAATTACTACTTGACATGTTTGTTGTATTTGTAGTTGTAGTAGTACTAGAAGTATTTGAAGAGCATGATGGAGCATGATGATCATCCTGCTCTAATAAATAAGTTGGTTTGGCATTGAGTTTTCTTCCACTGTGTTGAGCTGCAATCACTGCGTGTAACATGGTGAATTTCTTTTCATGAGTCTTTTCATAAAATTCACAATATTTGGTTACAGAATGACCATTGGCTAATTCTTTGATACTTTCTGTATCGAAAGGAATGGCACATACTGCGAGTGGTCTTCTCAAAGTATCAATATCTAAATCATCTGTATTATTATTATTATTATTATTATTAGAACTATGAATAGAGAGATTTTTTGAAGAGTTGGTACTACTACTACCAGAACTATTAGAATTCTGATGACCCAATTCATATTTTCTAAATGCTCTTCCTACCAAATACAATTCATCTTTCAATAAATTACTTCCTGTAATATCTCGAAATAATGAAATTCTGTTCTTACCACTGTCACTTGAAATGACAATACTTTCACTAATGAAACGAGCCTCATTCAATGAATACATGGCAAAATGAATTTCAATACTTTCATCTCCAGTAGCAAATAAATGAAAATCAAAAACAACCATCAATTGATAAGTATCATTAATAGAAATTGAAACTTGATTATCATTATTCATTGTTGAAGATGATGAATGATGATCACTACTATTCTTTCCACTGCTACTTGTAGTGCTACTACTACCACTATTACTATTACTATTACTACCACTATTACTACTATTACTACTATTACTATTATTATTCGAGGTATTTCCCGTAGTTGCAACAGCATTGACTTGTTCGAGACCCTTTTTTATGGTTGAAAAGACTTTATCTTTAAAGGAAGAAGTTGAAGTGAGTCCTTTTGATTTCTTGTCATGATTACCAGACGTCGTTGTGCTCGATGAAGAACTCTTTGGTGTAGAAGTTTTTCGTTTTTGTCTTTGATAATTCAATGGAGAAGCTCGTCCAAGTCCTTTATGTTGTTGACTCAATAATAATTGTTCAATAAAAGCACCATCACTCACATAGACACTGGTTTCATTTTCGATATCACTAATACTATCCATCATACTTTGAAATTCCACACCAGAAGAGCCATGATTCTGATCTGAAGAGGATAACGTAGAGGGAGTTCGAGTACGATTCGATGAAGGGGATGATCCCGAAGTGTTGAGTGTGAGTGTGGGTGGAAGAGGTGTCATCATTAAATGATTTGTTGTTGTTGTTACCGAGGTTGTTGTGGTTATGTTGGTTTGGTTATGTTGTTTTGTTTATGGTTGTGGTTGGTGTGTGATGTTGTTACACGATAATGAGATGAAGAGGTTATTGTTGTTGTGTTGACAATGAGGTATGTCTACTGCTACGATCAAGGAGTGGAATGGATGATGTGCAAAATGCTCTCTCACACCGCATTCACACCAACGAACGTTGTCGATGATGACAGCTAATTATTTTTTAACAAGATTTGTTTTTAATGACAGAGTGATGATGACGATTGAAGAGATCTTTACAGAGGTTCTTAGGCAGACCCAGATTTGATTTTTTGAGAAGAAAGAACTCGAGCGCATGGACAAGGTAATCGTTCTGAGGCTCATGAATCATTCGAATGACCCTGTGCTTCCTCTCAATGCAATTTCACTGCCTATCATTCATCCCTGTAACCTTTCCAAACACTCGAGCGAGATTCTAAAATCCAAACACACAACACGCTAAAAAATGAGCCACAGTCCTTCGTTCTCTTCGGATCAACCTCAATTACGGTTCGCCATGGTGGGATTGTTCCGAGAAGCTCTCAATGATCATTCTAATTTATTGAATACCTCTCACTATTATGAATCTCAAAGTAACAATAATAATGAACCATCATCATGTATTTTAATTGGTGAATTCTATAGAGGCTTAACCAGCAGTACTCAAATTTCGCAGCAACAACATGCTCAAATGACCCGACAAATTTGTTTAAAAATTGGAGATAAAGTATCTCATACAAATCACAAACGAACTCTAACACAGGGTTCTTTAAATTTCCATTACAAGGTGGTTGATAACAAGTATATTTTCATTGTTTGTGCGGATTCGGAATGTCCATTGAGGATTTGTTATAACTTTTTGGATGATTTAGAAACTCAATTTAAAAGACAAGGTTATGATAACGAGGGACTCTCTAATTCCCATTTTAAACCAATATCCAACATGATTAAGGATCGAATGGCACATTATAACAATTTAGAAAATGATAAAATTTACAAATTGAAAAATCAGATAGATGCTACCAAGGATGTCATGATTTCTAACATTGATAAAGTAATTGAGAGAGGTGAACGATTGGAAGTATTGGCAGAGAAAACTGATGAGCTACAGGATCATGCATTTGGATTCAAAACCAAAAGCAAGAAGCTGAAAAACACCATGAAAAAGAGAATCATTCTACTTGCTGTGATATTGATTGTAATTTTTGTGATTATTGTACTGATTGCAGTATTTGCTGGTTGCAATTTCCCATCCTTTGATCGATGTAGAGTCACTTCTAACAACAACAACAATAATGGCAATAACAATCAATAACCAATTTGTGCATTCAAAATAAGTCATCCATTGGCAAGGCAAACGATTTCAACACATGGCATCATCCACACACATGCTCAATATTCAATCCCTCTCACTTCTGCAGCATTATTTGAAGCATTCATTTCCACACACATCAAAGTTCAAAAAACAGAGAGAAACACAATAAAAAAAATGACCATTTCAGCAAGGCACAACAATCAAATTCCTCTTCGTTCGGTCCGACCCATCTATCCTTCGGGGTCAACGACAACGAGTAGCAGTAGTAGTAGCAGTAGCACAACTTTACAACCTCTTATCAATATTGAAACAGGTAAACGAAAAGATGGACGTACCTGTGATAAATTCAGAAATGTTTTTCTTCAAGTCGGAGTCATCAAACAAGCTCGTGGAAGTGCCTATCTTGAATTTCATCAAGGAACTAAAATTATTTGTGCAGTCTATGGTCCTCGACAAGTTTCTGCAAAAAACATAGAATTTAGTGATACAGGACGATTACAGTGTGAATATCGAGTGGCACAATTTGCCTCTAAACATTGCAATTCCCGAAGTAGTATTAGCAGTGGAATGAGTGCCACGAAATCACATCAAGCGACATCGGAAGAAATTGAATTTGGAATTCACATGAGAGAAGCCCTTGAATCATCACTTCGATTAGACAAATATCCAAAAAGTGTCATTGATGTTTATTGTTTTGTTTTAGAAGATGATGGAAGTGCATTGAGCGGAGCTATTAGTTGTGCCTCTCTAGCACTTGCCAATGCAGGAATTGAAATGGTGGATATGGTGAGTGCATGTACAACAAGTGAATTGGAAGGTCAAATTGTTGTGGATCCAACCAGTCATGAATATAAATATGCAAGTGGTGGAATGGTGTGTGGATATATGAGCAATTTGAATGAAGTAACACAATTAACTCAAGTGGGAGATATGTCGTTTCAGAAAGTGAGTGAAGCAATGGATTTATGTATTGATGGATGCACCAAGTTGTATCAATTGATGCAACATTGTTTAATTGAGAGTAAAACCAACAACACAAATCCAACTGTGTTTCAAGAGATTTAGCTCTCGAATAAACAGTAAATTACTCGCCACGTTTGATCCAAAGGCTTGAATGCCTACTTTCAACTTGGATAAAAATTCATTGTGATTTCTTTGCAAAGTAACAATTGTTTATGGATCATTTAAAACTTTTTGCATTTAGAGACACGGAGGAGAGCTCTGGCAAGCTTTCTGCCAATAACGGCAACTCTTCTTCTTGCTCTTCTAGCTCTTCTAGATCTCTTAACCTTTCTACCACCTCTTCTTCTACGGACTCTTCTTGCCTTTCTTCCTTTTCTACACTTGATAATCTTAATCTTCAAAGCCTTCAAGACCTTCTTGAGCTTACGAGGCAAGTGCTTCTTTGGACAATATCTCTTACCCAATTTTCTTTGCTTTCTCAAGACTTTTCTCAACAACTTTCTAATCTTGCGAGAAGTCTTTCTCTTGATCACAGTGGTGGAAATTCTCTTGATGAGTTTCTTGTATCTACGAGAGGATCTCTTCTTGAGTCTTCTCAAAATAACACGCTTAGCCTTTCTTGCTCTTCTAACAGCACGTCTCTTGAGCTTCTTACAAACTCTCTTAGCTCTCTTGGTTCTCTTCAAAGCACGCTTGACCTTCTTACAGACACGACGAGAACGTCTAATGAGTTTTCTAGCAACTCGTCTTGCTCTTCTCAAAGCACGTCTGACACGTTTAGCAGCTCTCTTGGATTTACAAATTCTCAACTTTCTCACGAGTTTTCTCACACGTTTAATAGCTCTTCTGGCAATACGTTTAGCACGTGTACCCTTTCTTCTCAACTTTCTTGATCTCTTCAATGCACGTCTCTTAGCCTTCTTACAAGCACGTCTAGCACGCTTCAATGCAGCACGTCTGACACGTCTTGCTCTCTTCAATGCACGTCTCTTGAGCTTTCTTTGTCTCTTAATGAGGGCACGTCTTGCTCTCTTCAAAGCAGCACGTCTTCTCTTCAAGACAGCACGTCTGGCACGTCTAGCTCTCTTCAAGGCAGAGCGTCTTCTATTTCTACGGGCCTTCTTGATAGCAGCAGCTCTTCTATTGGAACGTCTTCTATTGACACGTCTTCTATTACGTCTTGCTCTCTTCAAAGCAGCACGTCTTCTATTACGTCTGGCTCTCTTCAAAGCCTTTCTTCTCTTCAATCCCTTTCTGAGACGTCTGAGTTTCTTGATCATTGGAATTCTTCTTCTACGAGCAGCAGTAGCCTTACGTCTTCTCAACTTGGCAAGCTTCTTGAGGACAGCACGTCTTCTCAATGCACGTCTTCTATTTCTACGAGCCTTCTTGATTGCAGCTCTTCTCTTGGCACGTCTAGCAGCTCTTGCACGACGTCTTGCAATTCTTTGCTTTCTTCTCAGAGCCTTCTTGATACGCTTAATGAGTCTACGTCTAGCACGACGAGCACTCTTGGAGAGTTTCTTCTTTCTTCTCAAAATCTTGCGAAGTTTCTTCAAAAGCTTTCGAACAGCCTTCTTTGCCTTCTTGGCGAGCTTCTTGGCCTTCTTTGCCTTCTTAATGATAGCCTTTCGGGCGGCACGTCTTGCCTTCTAA